AGAATCTGCATTTGCCAAGGTAGATTTCATTTTTTGAATAGTTTTCTTACCTGATAAAGTCCTTTTCAGCTAAAAGGCGTGAAAAAGACGCGTGTGGGCTATGCTGGAGGCACGACCATCAACCCGACATATCGAAATATTGGCGACCATACAGGTCCTTGTTTGAGACTAGCCTTTATTGAGCCCCTGTAACTGTCTTGCTGCCCTTATCCTTCTTAAACCCCTTTTAGAAGTGACTGAAGTGCAGTTCGATCCGTCGCAGATCTCGTACCGCCAAGTGCTCGATTTCTTCTGGTCACATCACAATCCAGCTGAACTACGGAAAAAGCAGTACCAGTCGGCGATCCTCTACGAGACAGAGGACGAGAAGAAGATCGCCGAGCATACCTACGCTCAGGCTCGGGTTTGTACAACTTGAGAGTCGGTTAGCTGTAGCCCTGAAGTTTCGAATGATTTCAGACGAAATACGGCAACATAGAGACGTATGTGGTCAAGTTGGACAAGTTCTACCAGGCTGAGGACTATCACCAGAAGTACTGGCTCCGAAACAGGCATGACATATTCGATGAAGTGAGCGCTTGGTTTGGGCCCTTTTGAGTAACATTCCTCCAAATAATTTATATTTCAGCTCAAGCTGAGTGATGACCAAGTCGCCAACTCTGTTCTGGCAGCCAAGGTAGGCAGAGCGTTTCAGCTTTGATTAACTTTTGAAAGACTGGACAGATACCCCGTCAGGGTTGAAAGTGCGCCTGAAATCAGCACTGTTTTGTTCCTTGAAGTGGCGCTATCTGAGTAGAAAAATACGCAGTGATCTTGGCGTGGGTAATTTCTCGAATATCCTGTGATCGTCAAAAAATAGAGATCTGACTCAAATTCCATGCTGACTGTATGGGCGGAGTCACTTAGACTGTCCATCTCCGTTGTTCCCCCTCCCTGGCATCTGGGAGAGATGATGGGCTCTGAAAAGAGTAGAGCAGTCTAACCATGAATGAAGCCACTCATATGCTTCATGGAATTTGCATTTGAAGTGTTCAGAATGAATTAGTCTTTCTGGGACGAGATATTTTAAACAGGCGCAG